ACGAGAAGATCGTGGAGCTGGAAGAAGAGATAGACAAGTTACGCTGGCATATTATAGGATTATCCGAGATCCGAAGAGAGGAGGCGGACACATTAATCCTCGAATCCGGCAACTTGCTCTATCAACGGGAGGGCGACCATGTGTCCCAAGGTGGTGTCGGATTTATCGTCCACAAGTCTCTCGTTAACAATGTTATAAAAATTGAGAGTGTGTCGACTAGGATTGCGTACCTTATACTCAGAATCATCAAACGGTATTAGCTGACGGTCGGACAGGTTTACGCACCAACCTCGGCACATCCCGATAAGGAGGTGGAGGAAATGTATGAGGATATCTATAGAGCCATACATTTCTTCAAAACCTACTGTACGGTGTTAATGGGAAATTTCAACGCAAAACTAGGCACAAGTGAAAACGGTGAGTTGAAATTAGGGAAATTAGGAATAGGGCAATGGAAACCAAACGGCCAGCAGCCGGCCGACTTTATAGAGAAAGAGGGACTCTTTATGATGAACTCTTTCTTCCAAAAGCGGCCTCATAAAAAGTGGACCTGGTCGAGCCCCGACGGTTCGACAAAAAATGAGATTTCGAGAGAAAAGAGACTTCATTATGACGGCCAGATGACTTTTGAGTGATGTCTCAGTGATCGCGAGGGTAAAAATTGGCAGCGATCACCGAAAGGTGAGAGGCACACTGAACCTAAACGTTAAGTTGGAGAGGTCTCGTCTAATGAAGTCAACGCCCCGTCCCCCTCTTGCTCTATTCCAATGTCCCGAAACTTTTCAGCTCGAGTTACAAAACCGTTTTCAGTGCCTAGAAGACTGCGATGAAGTGGACGATATGAATGACAAGGTCGTGTAAACTGTTCATGCGGTCCGAGCTAAGTTCTGCAAGAACCGCTGCAGAAGAACACAAAAACTCTCCGATCATACTCTCAATCTCATATCGGTTAGACGGGAGATGAAGCTACAGTATTCAACAGATTTGACAGCATACAGGCAACTGAACAGACAAATCAGACACTACCGATAATATCCCGGAAATCAGTCTGAGTGAGATTAGAATAGCTCTCCAGCACCTTAAAAACGAAAAGTTCCCGGGCGAGGATGGAATTACAGCGGAGTTTCTGAAAGCGGGTGGAAAACCGGTAGTTAAAGTCATTCAGAAGCTCTTCAACTCCGTCCACCATGGTGACACCACTAGGGAGGCGTGGAGTAGAAGTGCGGTGGTCTTTTTCTTCAAGAAAGGTGGACAACTCTCTCTTCAAGAACTACAGACCGATTTCCCTTCTGAGTCGCGTATACGTGTTATTTTCGAGAGTCATTACGAACTATGACTTGACGACTTCCAGCCTCCCAAGCAAGCCAGTTTCCGAAAAGGCTTGGCACCATAGACAACATACATATACCCTTTGGCAAATTATACAGAAGACCAAATAGTACAATCTCCCACTTTGTCTTGCGTATGTGGACTATGAGAAAGCTTTTCATTCTGTCGAAATTCGGGTGGTGCCAACTGGACTATCGGTACATCGAATTACTGAAGTGTTTATACAGTAGGGCTACGATGGTTATCCGAGTACATAACCAGAGTACGAAACCTATCCAACTGTAGAGAGATGTAAGAAAGGGTGACGTTATATTCCCGAAACTCTTCCTCGCTGCATATAGTGTCTCCTAACGAACTGAAGATGAACATAGTCAAAGCAAAAGCCATGTTTAACGTCCATGTCACACCTATGCCGTTGTTGGGAGCATTAAGCTCGAAGTTGTTGACGAATACGTTTACCTGGGACAAATAGTCTAACTAGGTAAGTCCATCTTAGACCGAGAGATCAATCGATGGATTCAACTCAGCTGGGCAGCATTCTTGTCAGGCATACCTCAAAACCTCAAAACTAGATTGTATAACCAGTGCGTGTCACCAGTAATGACCTATGGATCTGAGACGTAGTCCTTCCCTTCTGGCCGTAGGAGGAAGCTCAAGGTCGCTCAGCGAACTATGAAGAGGGCTATGCTCGGCGTTTCTCTGCGTGATAAACTTAGAAATGAGGATATCCGCAGTAGAACCAGAGTAACCGACACAGTCCAAAGGATTAGTAAGCTCAAGTGGCAATGGGCTGGCCATATAGCTCGAAGAACCGACAATCGATGGGGAAGAAAGGTTCTCGAGTGGCAGCCTCGTACCGGCAGGCGAAGGGTAGGTCGTCCCCCCACTCGATGGTGTGACGGCCTGGTAAGACATGCAGGATGTCAATGGATGCAGGTGGCTCTGGACCGTGCTTTGTGGTATTCCTAGGGGGAGGCCTATGTTCATCAGTGGACTTGTGAAGAGCTGTAATGATAATGATGATGATGAAAAACAAATTAACAGTACTTTTGTTATCTGATCGCTTTCAAAAGTAAAATTAATAGATATGATAATAGTTTATTGATAGGAAAATAAGCTAACCGCCGCGTAATCACTTTACCACAATCGGTTGTTCGTTACGTTTCGGTGTTAAAAAAAAACATATTTACGCGTCTTTAGCGCGAAATTTTGGTATGTATCCAATGCTTTTTCTTAAATGATGTAATTTTTTTATTTTTATTTTCCTATGCCAAATTCAATAAAACGAAACATTTATAAATAGAATCATCTCAATCACCTAGGTTTCTGTACGTCCTTCTGAGTGTTTTGCGAGCTTTTTTTTCTAAAGAGGTTTTCATAATGTTACATAAATACAGATGTGACTTTAAAAAAATTCTGATCAATTTTCGGTAATAATTTTTGCTGGTAAATACATTTTTAGGGTTGTAAAGTTAAACAACGGTCCAACCGCGAACTTACTTAATATACTCCTAGTATGAAGAAGGCCCCTTCTAAGTTTACGTATTGTTCACATTGTTCACGAATCACGTGCAAGTACAGAACTCGCACATGGCCGATTTTTTTATGATAGCGCTGGTGGCATGGAACACTATTTATACCTAGTGTAAACGTAAAACGTGCCTTATTCTTACATAAACTGTAAATTTACAAATCAGACTGGGGTCCTCGGAATAATTATTTGTAATAGAATATAAAAATATTTTTCATAATTTGCAGAAATGGAACCCGCGGCCCCCATTGCCATAATGAAACGCCCAACATTACAGTGTATTGATATTGTCTTCTTAGCTGCAATCTCATCCACTGGAAAGTTATATTTAATTTAAAATTATATTAATGTCTCTTGTAATCATTTGCATTTATTTTTTAATTGTGTGGATTTTAAATCTAAATGTTATTTTTCTTTCTATCATTTATCTTTTAAGAGTAATTTTGTTGGTAATCCTTAATATTTTATCTTATGAAATTGAAATAAGATTGATATACGATTAAATTAATTCTTTGTACATATAAAAATTAGACGTTTAGGCACAAAATTACATACTAATTTCAATGGAATAACTTTTAGTTTCTGTTCAGAAATCTATAAGAACCAATAAGAACGAAACGAACATTTTCCAGTAACCGTTTTTTCTTATCTTTGCTAATAAAAATCAGCTGCAAAAGATATCTATCGTAATATCCTATCTGAAAACATGCCTGAGATAGCGAGTTCTTCCTGCTTATAAAATATTTAATTTACATTTATTGTATAACATGGTAGAGTCACGCTGACGCAATATTATACTCGTAGTTGCAACAGCAATGGGTTAGCTTGGCCGTCGCAACACCAAGCTCTCACAGAATACCACACTAAAATAGAAGCTTTAATGATTCGCATAGTGGGTGTAAATAATCGAAGATTCTTTTTTCTGGTAACAAGGCTTTATTTTAATATTCATGGGTAACAACGCATCTACATTTGGATTCTTAATGGAGGATCAATGTATTATGTGTCTGTATACTCATTTTTCACACTTATTCAATAAAAACAAAAGATAAACTTGGTTGCCGACTAATAGAGACATACAGCCAATGAGCCATCATTAATATCCTCCAGACAGTTGTCGTTCATGGCGGCTAGTCACTGTTCAAGAGAGGCTCTGCCCAACTAAGTACGTAGGTGCACTCTATATTCTCTCTCTGTCGTATCCCGCTCGGACGGCAATCCGATACGACCGGAGAGATACCTGGTGAAGGGCCAAAGACTACATGTTTTCCGAGGCATGGAGGTGAAATACCGCTAATTTCCTAACCCCGGGCTTCTACTGAGAATTTTTTGACAGATATACATACTACTCGATAACTGATTTTGCCCCGATCCGGGATTCTCACCCCATGTTTAAATTTACATGGAGAATTCACATAATTTACCGGGAGAAGGCCTTACGCATAAAACAAAAACGCAGTTTAAAATTAAGTTAAAAAAGTTCATACTAATAAATAGTAAAATTTGACCTTTGTATCATGATGATCCATTATACAACAATATAAGCCGTAGTTATTATGTATAGGTGTGTACCTCGTATCTATATGTGTATGTGTACATGTATATATCGATACTATTGATTTGTTATATTTTGAGAGTGTATATTTGTATTAAGCTTTTTCCTTTTATTTGCATGTTAGGAAGTAAGAGAACATTTTTCTTCTGCTAACAAACTGCTGAGCAGTTTGGCAGACTGTAAAACTTTAATATTGTTTAAATAATTTTGTTAAGTAAAAATAAAAAACTCGCTCATACGATCACTAGATCAACGAGGTAGTCATTATTTTCAAAAAATAAGACAACTTATGAATGAATAGATGTATATCAGATAATCACTCTTTAAGAATTCTACGGAATCTCTTGAATCACTTGAGAATTTTTATTTGCCTAAATCCGACAATTTTGCCTATTTTCGCAGCATTATTTTCCGCGAAAATGACATTACAAGTCCACCCTGTTATCAACCTTTACGTTGAAATATATATGTGTATTAGGCTCCGTTTTCCTATAATCTCATAACGTGAAAGGATCATGTCCACCAGTGCACTTTAACAAACTGATGACGAGAAACAATATTTTTTTTACAGTTTGTTTTTCAGAGATGTCCAGCATTTTAAATCGAATATTGTGGGGTAGAGATCCAGATAAACCTAATCCTATGAGCGGTCTTACACCAAGAGATATTTATGCAGTTCAGCGTTCTTGGGCTGTAATGTATGCAGAAGCAGGGAAATACGGGCTTGAACTCTTTATAAGGTAAAATGTTAAAAATTTGAATAAAGTTATAGCCTATATACGTCCCGCTGAGAGACAGTGCCCGCCTCCTCTGGGAAGGACTATGGAGCAGTTAGTCTACTACGCTGCTGTAGTAGGAACAAGTTGGCAGACATCACAATTATTATACTACTAACTGTGCCCCGCGGTTTCACCCGCGTCATCACGTGTCCGAGGTGCGCGACATGACCTAGTTCAAGCATTTTATAACGGTTAGGGTTTAAGCGTCGTTCGCGCGCCCAGCCAAGTATTGAATTATTTTAATTTTACATTATCTCTTAAACTATGCGTCCAAATAACATGGTATAAGAACAAAGTTTATCTTCATAAAATTGTCTTGATGATGAAGTAACTTTCGTTCGTAAGGATAAATAGGCCATACCTAATAATAACGCTCATAAATCACTTTTAAATTTTCAATATTTTTTTGTTACAAAATACGAAATTATGGCTTATGTATAAGAAATAGACATATGGTATCGCGGACTTTTTTTAGATGGAGTAAAGGTCTATATTTTTCTAGAACGTTGTATTTACGTATCCCTAACGATAACACAAGCGTACGCGGATAAATCATTTCGGGAGTGCTTTTTCTTCTGACTTTCTTAAGAAATATCCATATTTAAGGCTAGCTGAGTAATATAGCTCAATGCTAGATAGCCTATACTATTCCACATGAATCTGACTATAATATACAAAAATAATTTTTCAAATCGGACTCGTAGTTCCAGAGATTAGCGCGTTTAAACAAACAAAAAAACAAAAAACTCTTTCGCTTTATTATATTAAGTATAGATTTTATGTATACCTCAGGCATGCAGGTTCACTCACCTTTCTCCGCGTTAAAAAAGTGGTATAAACTTGGTTGATGGTAAAAAATTTAAAGGCTTAAGATCGATTAGTATATCACTTAAAATTGCAATTAGCCATTTCATTGGTGCCGGAGGTGATCGAACCACGGTTAATCGAATACTGTGAAATTTATAACCAGCGCTTAGCACCTGAACGGTTCTTATGTTATTGTTATTGTAAATGAACACCCATCAAAATATTGACTACTGCGGACAGTTTCAGTTTTAGGCTGTTTAAATACCTACGAGATTTATATCTCTTAGGAATTCATTTTTATGTAATTCGACCCTCGACCTTATGGTTCTCTGTCGGCTTAATACTATACTTAAAAAAAAAATGAATATTAGTACTGGATAGTAGGTACTTTTGATTAAAATGTAAGGCACACTGTAACATTGAAAGTTTGAAATAAACCTAACGATTGTTAAATGACGGATTCGAAACCACGATGGTATTTGCAATCAATAATCTTAAACACTAGGCTACGGTTACTTTACATTCGCTGTAAGTAGATTAATAAGTTGTAAATTAATTATTAAAATACGTCCTATAAAAAATACTTCAACAGAATTTTAAAATTGTCTTCTGTGTGTGTGTAAATGACCAATATGATTTATTTACGAATATCATGATTTATGACCATTTACAATAAAGTAAAAGTTACAACACACGTTATATACACGTCCTACTGCTGGGCACAGGCCTCCTCTCATTTCTGAGAGGGTTTTAGGGCACGGAAAGGTCCACCGCGCTGCCCCAATGCGTGTTGGCGAACTTCACATGTCTTCGAAATATATATTTTTTTCCTATTTGTCAGACATGCAGGTTTCCTCACGATGTTTTCCTTCACCGCCGAGCACGTGGTAAATCAGCACTTAATTTTTTTTTAAATAAAATAAAATTGCAATTAACAATTTAATTGGTGCCGGCGGGGATCGATGCCGGGTTTCTCGCGTACTGTGAAACTTCAGCGAGTGCTAAGCATCTGAGCTACCACGGCTCTTGTACCATTTACATTAAAATATGATAATCACATAATTCACTTTTGCAGATTATTCCGCTTGAATCCTGTCACAAAAACTTACTTTAGGACAATTAAGGACATGAATGAGGAACAGCTATCGAAGAGTTTTCAGTTTAAAGCTCACGCCATCAATCTGATGTCATCAATCAACACAGCAGTAACAAATCTCAATCAACCGGAGGTCGTGATAGCTTTGATGAACAAATTGGGAGAAACTCATAAAAAACGGCGCGTTGAAAAGTCCCATTTTGAAGTTAGTAACTATTCAGCTAGTCAATTAATTCGAAGACTTTAATTCCATTTTAAAAATACCGAATATCCTAATTAGAAGCTTAAATTTCAGTAGGTACAGCCGGCCTTCTCCCGACGGAATTGAGTTCTTAATCAATCGAGTTTTAATCGAAGTACTACGCGTTCATTTCGAGTTTGCCGTCGCCGACCGTTATGACGTAACAGCTGACAGTACCGTAGACAAAACTATTATTGTGTTTTAATTATTGTATGAAGTTCGATTTTTAGTTTGTTGTCCTATACAGAGAAATGGAGGGCAAGCAAGTAGATAAAATGCATATTATTGAATAATTTATTTAGTTAGTAAAGTAAAATAATAACACTGAATAGAAACGTGTCCGATAAAATAAAATATTTTTTTCTAAATAAATTATTTACGAAGACGCGAAAAAAAAATTAGCAGTATTTTATCAAAATCGTGCGTCCCTGTATCACTGCCATCACTACATTCTGTGTTTATCACAAATTAACAAACGTAAAAAGTCAACCGAAACAAAAAATTAACAGTAACAACAACAACAAAAACAGTAACAAACAAGAGATCGCACTAGAGTACAAACAGTAGATACATTTCAGCGTTGCTATCGGTACTATATGGGCGACGGTTGAGGCGCGGTATGAGGGAGCGCGGCGGGAGGTAACGGCATTCATGAAGTGAACACGTAGTAATGGTAATTTTATACTCCTGAAACTGTAGGTTAGAGTTCAAGACATTACTACATGACTTAAGCTAGCGCACAATCGAAAGGTGGTTCAAATTAGAATTATTAGAATGGAAGTATTCAGCTGCCTGCCGCTAGATAGCGCTGGTACTCGCAAACGAACAAAATAGTTTTTCTTGATAACATACATGTTTATTAACTTTCAAAATATATATAAAACGATCTTCGGGTTAAAAAAAATCCGAAAATGTCTAACGGTGCTTGAACTCGATCGTATTTTTCGATTCGAATTGGTAAGGAAGTAAAATACTTAAAATCATAAACAACGTCAGTTTGAGTCTAAAACCGAATTGAATTCGAAATTAATTTCGGTAGTTAATCTGGTGGTATTATCTTATAAAAAGATCATCAATCAAATTATCACAAAAAACAAAACATCTCTTTTCTATCGACTTCAAAATGGAGACGGTACTCAATTCGACTGTATTTTTTTAATTTGAAAAAGATACCTCATAACATTTTTCTGGGTGCACCGATTTCGATTATTCTTTTTTGTTTCTTAATAATTTATATTGAAGTCGGTTGTACATCATTTTTAATTTTTAATTATGATTACAAAAATAACAGATTATTGATGATTTTCGTTCCCGCCAAGCTAGTAGCAGTAAGTAAATTAGTACTCAGAATTGCAATTTATCAATCAATTGGCGTCGGTGGGGATCGCACCTAGGTTACTCAAGTGCTATGAAATTTTTCTTTAAAACTATAAGAATGCCATATCAAGTTGGACCACCACCGTTTAAATTAAATCCACCTCTACTTGGAAGGAGAGTCATTTGTGTCAGGTTGTATAAGTCACCCTTTTCTCCAAATGCTAACCTCCAATCGGTGCACCCTTGACGAATCCAAATTGAACCCAAATTTTACTGGATTAGTGATAGAGATCAGTTTTACTGACATGAAGTTATCGGTTATGCACTCAATAACTCTAGCACAAACCGGTGCATATTCGTATTCAAATATGAGTCGTTATAAATATGAATTTAAAAGTGTCAATGATGCGAAACGTCTGGCACGGCAATCGTCATTCCATGATCAGCATGGACATTTACAGCTCTCTAAATAAAGAATAAGATGAACTGAAATATTTTGTCTCTTTTCCAGGATGTTAAAGCAGTACTGGTGGACATACTTCGAAACGATTTAAAATTAACAGACGATGTTATTAGCTCCTGGGCGAAATTTGTAACTTTTATTTATAAGCATATTTTCGATGTATTGGACGATAAACAAATCTCCAATGAGTAATTTTATTTCTACATTAAATGTAAATAATTCGTTAAATTTGATAATTTTATTGTGATAAAATAATATCGTGATATGATTAACATTATAAATACTCGCATTTTTAAAATAAATTATAGCACTTCTACAAGCCTCTTTTCAAAAAAAAATATCATTAGACAGCAATAATTTATCGGTAGAATTAAATGTAAGTTTAAAAAATACAGACGACACACAAGCAATAGATTCGTCGATAACATGTGATGCTTATGCGACACTATTGGAGATAGACTAGTACTGTGCTGTGGTATTCCGGGGATTTCGTAAGTGGTGACAGAGATAAACAAGACAGGAGCTGGGCAGCAGCAGCTTCCGAATAACATTAAAAATCCTCATCACCATCATCATTACAGCCTCTCACAACAAACATACTCGTCAACAACTTCGAGCTTAGTGCTCCCAACAACTACCGGCATAGGTGTGACATGGACGTTACACATGACTTTTGTTTTGTCCATGTTTATCTTAAGACCTATCCGTTGGGAGACACTATTGAGGTCATTGAGCATAGTGCTTAGGTCCTCCAGCGATACTGCCATAAGGACTTTATCGTCTTTCTTATATTTACGCGAACACTACACATTGAATAAAATCCGTAAAAATAGTTTTATTCGACTTTATCGTCGGCAAATCGAAGGTGAGTCCTTTCAGTCCAGTAGCTTCCTTGCAACAAATGTCTTCCAATGCAGCGGTGAAGAGTTTCAGGGATATTACCTCACCCTGTCTTACACCTCTCTGCAGTTTGATAGGTTAAGTATTCTGGTTCTGTACTCGGATAGCCGTCGTAGCCCTACTGTACAAACACTTCAGCACTTCGATATACCGATAGTCAATTTGGTATCACTGAAGGGCCCTCAGCACCGCCCAAATTTCGACGAAATCAAAGGCAAAAAGAATTTTTCAAATCGGACTCGTAGTTCCAGAGATTAGCGAACGAATATCATGATTTATGACCATTTACAATAAAGTTAAAGTTACAACCTATATACACGTCCCACTGCTGGGCACAGGCTTTCTCTCATATCTGAGAGGGTTTTAGGGCACGGAAAGGTCCGCCGCGCTGTCTTCGAAATATATATTTTTTTCCTATTTGTCAGACATGCAGGTTTCCTCACGATGTTTTCCTTCACCGCCGAGCACGTGGTAAATCAGCACTTAATTTTTTTTTAAATATAAATAAAATTGCAATTAACAATTTCTCATAGTCCACATACGCAAGACAAAGTGGCAGATTATACTCTTCTGTTTTCTGTACAATTTGCCGAAGTGTATATATGTGGTCTATGGTGCTAAAGCTATTTCGGAAACCGGCTTTTTCGGAAGGCTGGAAGTCGTCGAGTTTGCATGCGTGACGATTCGTAATGACTCTCAAAAACAGCTCGTAGACGCGGATCATAAGGGCAATCGGTCTGTAATTTTTCAAAGGAGCGTTGTCGCTCCTTTGAAAAACGAATGAGGGGCGCGGTGGTAGATACAAGGATTTACCGGGGCTCTAACGTAGGGACGGATCATTACTTGGTCTTATGCCGAATTAATGGTCTTTTCAGACGTTGGAGGCATCGGGCATCTGTGTCTACCACTGCGTTACAGCGTATAAGAACAGAGAGGTTACAAGATGAAGGTGTGAAAGAGAAGTTCAAATGTAGATTGAGAGAAAATGTAAGTGGTATGGCTGAATTGTGTATGAATGATTTAGACTTGGAGACTGTGTGGTATAATGTCAAGAAAGGTTTAGTGGATGCAGCTACCGAAGTATGTGGTGTAAGTAAGAGAACGATTGAAAGGAAAAATAACACGTTATGGTGGGATGATGAGGTACGGATGGAAGTTGGAGCAAAGAAGAAAGCATGGCTAGATTTACTAGCAACCAAGGCTAGTAATTCTAGCAGTATGAATGATGATATTGAAAGGAAAAAGGCAGTTTTTAGACATCTAAATAACAGAGTAAAAGAAGTAGTTGAAAGGAAAAAGCAAGAAAGAACGGATGAGAATGATAGAAAAATATCTAATAACTTCCAGGCAAACATTAAAATGTTCTGGAAACTCGTAAGAACTACCAGGGGACATTCACAACAGCCTAGAATGAATGCTATACGAGACCAGAATGGCTGTATTCTGAATGACGAAGTTTTGAGTTTAAGGAGATGGAAGGAATACTTTGAAAGCGTGTTATGAGTGATGAGACGTTTGAATTAAATGAAATAGAAATTCCGAAAGAAGAGGAAATAGATAGAGATATAAGTATAGATGAAATAATGAAAGCAATGAAAAGTATGAAAGCAGGTAAGGCAGCCGGTTATGATAGAGTATCTCTCGAAATGCTAAGGGCTGGAGAAGGAGTGGTGGCAGACCTGCTGTACACCTTGTTTAATTTATGTTGGGAACTTAAGCGGGTACCGGGAGACTGGTGCAAAGCCGTGATAGTCCCTATATATAAGGGAAAAGGATCACAGCAGGACTGTAAAAACTACCGTGGTATCAGCCTTCTTAGCGTTGTGGGAAAACTGTATGCTAAGGTACTAATTGAAAGAGTTATGAAAGAAACTGATGGAAAAATTTGGGATGTGCAAGCGGGATTTAGAAAGGGAATGGGATGTACGGATCAGGTCTTTTCCATGCGCATGATCGCGGAGAAGTTTTTGGCCAAAAACAAAAAAGTTTTTTGTGCGTTCATAGACTTGGAGAAGGCTTATGACAGAGTGGACAGGGATGTGTTATGGCAAACACTGAGCTCATTTGGGTTGACCGCTGGTCTGATACAGGCATTGAAGTTTCTATATAGGGACTCTAGTGCTTGTGTCAGGATCAACGGGGCCTACTCGGACTGGTTTGGCATCCATAAAGGTGTCAGACAGGGCTGTGTGGCTTCCCCGTGGTTGTTCAACCTATTTATGGACAGTTGTTTGGAAAATTTGAAAGTAGAAGAATGCGGGTTAAGAATGGGTGAGTTAACCGTCAAATGCCTTTTGTACGCCGATGATCAAGTCATACTTGCATCGTCGGCAGCCGAGTTGCAAATGATGGTTACATTAATGAACAGGACATTAAAAGAAAAGGGAATGAAAGTGAACGCAAGTAAGACGAAAGTTATGGTTTTTGAAAGAGAAGACAGCAAAACCATATGTGAAATAAGAATAGAAGGGGAGTTGGTAGAGCAAGTAGATGAGTTTGTATATTTGGGATGTGTGTTTAGCAGGGATGGTAGATATGATAAGGATATAGAACGACGAGTGAATGCAGGAAATAGAGTGAATGGGGCTCTACACTCTATTGTGAAAAGTCAGAATGTGTCCAAAAAGGCACGTATGGCAATTCACAATGCTGTGTTAGTACCTACTTTAATGTATGGTAGTGAAAGTTGCATGTGGCAGAAGAAGCATGAGAGTAGAATAAATGCTGTAGAAATGCGGTCATTAAGGATTATGTTAGGGATAAAGCTGAATGACAGAGTGAGAAATTGTTTAATAAGAGAAGAGTGTGGTTTGCAAGATGATGTTGTGACCAGGATTAAGAAAGGAATGCTTCGGTGGTTTGGCCATGTAGAAAGAATGAATGAGGAAAGAGTGACAAAGCAAATCTATGTTGCAGAGGTGAACGGCATAGTCGGGAAGGGTCGCCCTAGGCGAAAGTTTATCGACCAAATTGGCGATATATTAAAAATGGGCCATATCAAGAGTACCTTTAACCGACGAGCGTGTATGCGTAGGTATATGGATGTGGCAGAAGCGAGAGAGGTGTGTCAGAATCGTGCCAAATGGAAGTCCATAATCTCTGCCTACCCCTCTGGGTGACAGGCGTGAGTGTTTATGTTATGTTATGTTATATGTTACGTTATCGCCTTTCTTGAAGGACAAGACCACCGCACTTCTGCTTTACGCCTCCGGATTAGTGCTACCATGGAGGACGGAGTTAAAGAGCTCCTGAAGGACTTTAACTAGCGGTTTTTTACTTGCTTTTAGAAACTGCGCTGTAATTCCATCCTCGCCCGGGGACTTGCCGTTTTTAAGGTGGAGAACTATTCTAATCTCGCTCAGACTGACGTCCGTGATACATCGGAATAGTGTCGGATAAGACTTGCTTTTGGAACAATACTCACACTTGCGTGTGACTCCAACGATGACCTCTTAATCTAGCTCAAAATCTCAGGTGTCCTGGAAATGATGCTGCCACATTCGGTCTTTAGCTTCGACAGTTGGCTGTTTCTGTCAGACAGATCCTAGCAAAGACTTTGCGGCTCTGGTTCCGCTTGATCGATTCTTCAATACGAGATCTATCTGTTCGGTTGCCTGTATGGTGTCAAATCTGCTGAAGACTGCAGCTTCATCTCCCGTCTAACAGCCATGAGAGTGTGATCGGAGATTTTTTTGTTCTTCTGGGACGGGCTTACAGAACGTAGCTCCGACTGCATGAACAGTTTTCACAAGCTTGTCATTCATATCGTCCACTTCATTGCAGTCTTTTAGGCATAGAAAACGATTTTGTAACTCCAGCTGAAAGTTATCAGGGCTTTGGATTAGAGCACGAGGGGGACGGTGCGTTGACTTCATAAGACGTTACCTCTCCAACTCAACGTTTATTTTCAGTGTGCCTCTCACCATTCGGTGATCGCTGTCAATTTTCAACCTCGCAATCCGTCTAGATAGAAGGAGCATTTGGTTTGTGTATTTTTGGTAACCCAAACAATCTCGGTGGTTTGGCACATGATGGTATTGTCGAATTCACGTCGAGGTTTAATTTTTCGGAGTATTTCTTTATTAAGTCGGTAGTTGTTTTAAGTGTATATTAGTTGTAGGGTCTATTTTGACCTTTTTGTACGTACTTACGTCCGATAAAAGTTGTTGTATTTTGAAATTATACTCAATAATGAGACATCACTGAAAAGTCGGCTGGTCGTCATAATGAAGTCTATCTCATTTTTTGTCGAACCGTCGGAGTTTGAACAAGTCTACTTTATATGGAGCCGC